TACTATTATGTCCTACCTGGGCCGCGATTACGTTCGATACGGGTGTTCCGGCCCGTGTGATAACTAGCGGTACGGCCCGGGGGTTCTTACCGCGTACGGCCCAGGGCTTCCAAATGTTCCATAGAACGATTCAAACGCGTTTCGCCCTAACCGCGTGCAACGCTTTCGAAAATTCGAATGCAAAATTCGGACGTTGGAATTGATGTTGTTGCGTTTTTTGGGATTAGGGACACCAAATTTTTGCTCATTTCGCATTGAAAGGCGTGTTTTCGTGGGTGGGTATGACATAAATAAAATACAACACGGTGTATTCCGCATCACCCTCGGTCCCAGCCCTCCCGCGGATCGGATCTCCCTCCGGCCTTCGGCCGTCGGGCGATCCGACGCGCGGTCGGGCTGGCACCTCGGGCGATACGGAATACCCCGTGTTGTATTCTATATGTAGTGACTCACTATATTGAAAACTACATTGAAAACCCAGGTGGATTTCTATAACTTATAAGAGTAGGTGTCAATAAAATGTATTTTTTATCCAGTCTAATATTTTTCCGGCTTGAATGTACATTACTGTGTGAGGCTTTTTTGCAAGATCTCAAAATCTAAAGGCGCTGGCATTCACAATTGACCCTTATTCAGCATGTAAATAGCTTTCATTGTAATTTATATCGCTTTGTTCGGTACGTATGTGTAAAACTGTCAGTTAGATGTATTACTAGATAGACAGTGGGTGTTTTCTCACATTGAGTATATTTTCTTCCAGATAACTTTTCAGTGGTTCTGTATTCCTGAGTTCCTTAAGATCACGCAAGATGTCAGCGTTCTTCGTTCGCAATGCTCGCATGCTGGCTGCTGCCGGGGGAGTGGGCGCAGCAGCCGCCTCCGCCTGGTACTATGGCAACCAGACCGTCGACGCCCGTGTGGGCGGGGCCAGAAAAATGTACCCCCCAAGGTGAGGGATTGATCCCATGTACTCAGCTGTCTCTTCCTCAGTTACTGTTCGAACTGCATGTGCCTCTCACTCCCTCTATAACTCCCTCCCTCCCACATCAGTATAATGTATATGACTATGTGTTGACCTTCACAATCAGCCTGGCTGCCTGAAGGTCAAAGTAATGTACTGCTACATTTTCAATAAATATTAAAACTCCCCCATTCCTCTTCCTCTTCCCATCCTTCCATCTATCATCCCATTACCTTTTTAAATCATAATCAGTCTGACTTTGTAAGATGATATCAAGTCTCAGTAATGGAACCACTTGTCATTGTAGCAGAAATGGTGAAGTCAGCCAACAATTCAGCCCTAATGGACTGACATTTTAAAACAAAAGGGTCATGACTGTATTTGTTTACTTTAGCTACAGTTTATGTTGCAACAATTTCCAATATGCACAAGGTGAGAAACAAACGAAAAACTTTACTAATACATGTACATTTTGTATTCCCCGTCTCTTCAGGTGAAAATATCAGGCACATTCCTTAGCCTGGTTAATTATATAAATATATAAATAGGTATGAGATAAAATGGGTCATTAACTCATAATACCCTGAGTCACTAAAACATTTCCATGAAAGTTACCAACCCTTGTGTCCATCTATCTATACTTGTGTTGGTCGCCGTGACGTGATATGGGTTGGCGTCAGAGTTTGACGGTAAGTGCCGTGGGTTTGTGCGTCCACAGAACGTGCACCCGCTGCCTGTGGACCTCTGCGCCGCTGGCAGTAGCCTTTATCCTGGGCTTCCTGACCAGCTCTGTCACCCAGCGCTACTCGTGCACGCTACGTGCTGCCGAGAACACACCCATGAAACCTGCCAGAAAAAGATACCCTCCTAGGTAAGACTGACATACAGCAAACTGTGGCAAATGTGTCTCTGTGGCAAACATCACCATCCCCAAACATAACTGTAGCAAAGTGTGTCACTGACCAGTGTAGCAAACAAGACAGGGACAAGAGATGTCTTGGTATTGGAAACGTGATAATGTTACAAAGGTGCAAGTTGACCAAAGCATGTTGTCTGACCTTCTAACACTTGACTGTGAAACAAACAGAAATAAACAAGAATGATGGAAGAGTAAAAAATTGAAAAAGGACTGAGCTGGTCAGGTAGCCTTAGCAAGAGGTAGGTCATCATAATGTAGTCCCTAATAAATAACAAATTACGAAGAAAGCCCATGTCATGCTGCATGTGGATGTTGCCTTGATGTTGAGTGTTATGTGAGTGTAATGTGAATTGTATCTGCTGAGTGCATAAATTGTATGCATGCTAGAATAGGAAATGTGAATGTGTTGGACCTGATTATAATCAGGCTTTTTAATCTTCAGCCCAGAACACTTATAATAATTGATAACATCCATTTTGCAGCTTCATCAATGATTTACATGTATCATGTTGCTTCTCAAATACAAGCTTGCTATATTGATGAAGACGAGAGATTGCAGCAAGAAATGGCCCAAAGGCACTTGCTTTTCACCTGACGTTAGGACTTTTTCATTTTATGGTGGCTTAGGTCAGCAGGAACCAGCATGTGTTAAAGGACATAGGTAGGGATGAATCCTAAAGGTCATGGGCTAAGGATGACTAGAAGATGCTGGGTACATTGTATAACTTGTACCATATACTCTGGTACTAAAGTGGTTAACATGAAACAGTACTTTCAGGATGTCTGCATGTGAATTTAGATTACCAGTAAGCAAAGGACAAGAAGAGGGAAGATAAAAAGTTCCTTGCATGTTCCTGACTCATCAAACACTCCATGAGGTGGAGAGCTTAGAAACCTGTACAAAAGTAACCCCTGAATGTGTTCCTGCCCCCCTCCCCCATACAGTGCTGACTTCCCTGACTTGAAAAAGCACAACAACATCATGGCCAGTAACCTGACCCCCAAGATCTACGCCAAGCTGCGGGACAAGGCCACGCCGGCAGGCTACACGCTGGACCAGTGCATCCAGACGGGGGTGGACAACCCTGGACATCCCTTCATCAAGACGGTCGGCATGGTTGCTGGAGATGAGGAGTCATACGAGGTGGGTCACAAACCCCTCGGGGTTCACTGCAGTTCCAGAGGAGCCCGCAAAGGGGCCCAAAATCTGGGAACAAGCTGCATACTAAAAATCTATGGATTCTAAGTACGTGCAATAAATTTTTCCTGTGCACCAAAATGCCTAGGTTAGGTGCACTGTAGATTCCCCTATTCCTTAAAATGAATTTTGAGCTCTGTTTTGTCCCAACGTAGGTATTTGCTGAACTGTTTGATGCTGTTATTGACGAGCGGCATGGCGGGTACGGCCCCAATGACAAGCATCCCACCGACCTGGACTGGACCAAGATCCGAGGGGGGAACTTTGATGATAAGTACGTGCTGTCCAGCCGTGTGCGAACCGGCCGGAGCATCCGCGGTCTGAGCCTGCCGCCAGCCTGCACCAGGGCCGAGAGGCGCGAGGTGGGCGAACAGATGGTTTCAGTGCAGTATTGGTCTGCTAAACTCTAGGATTGTTTACAATAGGATCATTACATAATTCTGACATTAGAGCTGTTTACCTAGACAAATTTGGTGAAATCTTTAACATGTGTAAGTTATGTATGTAGCTAACTATAACTATACACATACTATTAGTCAGTGGTGAAATGTTTTTGAAAAGTTTTTCTGATTTTCAAGTGCTAAGTTGTCATCTTTGAGATGTAATTTACTTATCCTTAGTGTAAAGAAAAGGAATTACAGGGTAGACATTTAGATTACAGGGTTGAAGTTGATGAGATAAAATCTTGTGCCCCCCTCCCCTCCTCACATAGGTGGAGCGTGTAGTGTCTGACGCCCTGGCCAACCTGGCAGGTGAGTTTGAGGGGAAGTACTACCCCCTGAACAACATGACAGAGGATGAACAGCAGCAGCTGATCGATGACCACTTCCTGTTTGACAAGCCGGTCTCGCCGCTCCTGACCTGTGCCGGGATGGCCCGCGACTGGCCCGACGCTCGAGGCATCTGGTACGTGGGACTGCTTGTTTTTATAAGAGGGTCTGCATGGGGGGTCCTGATTACGCTTTACGCTAAATTTATGGAGGCCCGCAACGCTTTACGTTAAATTTCCGGAAGGCTGGCAACGTTTTACGCTAAATTTTCGCCTCCTCACTACGAATAACGGTAAATAAAATGACTTCCCTACAAATTACGGGAAATTATAAAGAGGCCGCCTACGCCTTACGGAAAAGAGCATGCAGACCCTCTTATAATAGACATGAGAAAAGCACAGTCTGAGGCTACTGTAAGGTTCACTACAATTTCTCCCAAAGTACATGATGTGTAACTAGCTAAAAGGAAATGAATGGAAACACACAAATAGAAAGAACACGATGATAATAATTGTCTTGTTTCAAGGCATGTGAAACATTCAATTTTATTCAAACACAAAAATCTTTCATGCTGAAGTGAGAAAAACTGTAAGAATAACTGTAAGATTGACTTTATTTTGTACTTAAAAGTTTTGTAACAGTAAGATTCCTTCTTATGTTGGCAGCCAGGTGTTCAGTAATTTATCCGTCTTCATATTTGTTTTAGAATTATATTGAAGGTATAATGATTTACCTGATCCTTGATTATCTTAAATGGCAAGTAATCTTCTTTCCCCTCTTCAGTAGGTCTTCCCAGTTCTCAAGTTGATTCTACTGATCACTTAGTTTTGTTTCTCCCAGACTAGGATACAATTATGCAAAAATGGTTTTATTTGTAAAGTAGACCTGATCTCATGAGAAGGACTCCTCCTCGCCCCCCTCCCCACGCAGGCACAACTCACAGAAGAACTTCCTGGTGTGGGTCAACGAGGAGGACCACACCCGGGTCATCTCCATGGAGAAGGGTGGAAACATGGCGCGGGTGTTCCAGCGCTTCTGCGCCGGCCTGAAGGAGGTAGAGTCGCGCTCAGCCACTTTACGTATTGTCGCATAGTTAAAACCAACATGTTGTCTTCACAGGAGACTGTTGCAGTCTATCACACTATCCTAGCATGCATCTTTCTACCAGGTAGACTCTGTCGCCTTTTGTACTTGAAGATACACCCAACAACACACAGGTCATCACAAGGTCACTTTCACCCAGCAACTCTATGCTGTAGCCCCAGGCTGCATTGCACAAATATTATTCATGAACACACAAAGAAATACACAATACAAACAGACAAACAAACGCACCTTTGTGTAGATCTTTTTCAGTTGCTTCTCTGACTTCAACCCACCAGCACAGAACCGCAGCTCCACCCTCTCCTCAGGCCATCCACTCAGCATGATGAATGACCCCCCCCTTTGCACCCTATATCCCTCCCACTATAAACAAACCTCCCCTTTGCACCTGACCTCAGGCATAACATGAACAAGACTTTCCTAGTGTGGGTGAATGAAGAGGACCACACACGGGTCATTTCCATGGAAAAGGGTGGGAACATGCGACGGGTATTCGAAAGGTTCTGCACAGGCCTCCAACAGGTAAACTCCCCAACCCGCTGAGTTGTGTGCTGTGTCTCCCTACCACTTGAGTGTTGTTGTGCGGAGGCTGCCATGCTGGCTGGTACAGGATAAGTATGGAGGAAGCTTGCTGTGCTTGTAGTTTGCCGTAGTTTAGCTGATAACACAGGGAGAGACATGACTGCTGCCAAATGCACCCCCCCTCCCTCAGCATTCAAACCCACCTACACCCCCCCACCCCACTATTACCTGTCTAACCCTTCAGCAGGCTGTTCTAAGCTACAAAGCATGTTTTTTCCCATTCTCAACACTTTTCTCATTCCAAATCTTTACTTTGCAGGTTACCACTGTAATGATAGAAGACTTTTTGATTCTTTACTTTCTTTCTATACGTTGTATAAGAACATTGCATTTTTTTCAGCTGCATGCTACTGTAGGTCCTTATGAACAATTCCAGTGCTGCACTGTGCTTCTGTTTCTTTCACATATCCTATTACTAGATTCTCCAATCTTCTCCAATTTACTATTTTAGATACTACATGTATTTCTCTCATGTACGTAGCTAGTCCTTTTTCTCCTATGCATGCCATGTCACCCCTGTCTACCTACACCCCCCCACACTGACACCCTCCTCCCCGGCACGGTCTGTCTGCCCCTCCCCCCAGGCACAACTTCAACAAGACCTTCCTGGTCTGGCTTAACGAGGAGGACCACACCCGCGTCATCTCCATGGAGAAGGGTGGAAACATGAAGCGTGTCTTCCGTAGGTTCTCAGAGGGCCTGGCAGAGGTATCATACTTAGGTCTCAATTAGTGCCAAGGTTATCATTTTTGTAGTGCAAGCCCTGGTAATGTCATCAACTAAACTTCGGCCAAAGTTACCTGGTCTGCATGTCAGCCTGTGGGTACGTATTAACTTATAAAATTATCATGAACCCTAAAAAGTTAGAGAGCATGGCTGCCTGGTAAGGAGGATGTTGGGTATCTACATGTAATATCTTAGTGACTAAAAGGATGTAAATTTTGCCACGTTATATCAACTAATGACTAATGAAATTTACACATCTATGATTAAGTGCATAAAATAAAGTACAATTGAGTGATGAAGACAAGGCAGTATCCTCCTTGCACATGGCATCTCCCGTACCTGACTTGTACCTGTAGTAACCCTGGGTCTGTGGAGGACTGTCAAGAACTTGGTAAGTTTTTTGCTTTCCATGTTTCTCACAGTTTCTGTCAAATCCTAGTATAAGCCCTGCATTATCCAGACTTGTGTAAAGGTAAGTCTTCCCTGTCACTCATGTGTTCCACCCCTAACTGTTGCTGTTGCTGTGAGAAGTGTGTGGTGTGTGTGGTGTTTGACTGTCCATTTACACTGTGCTCACACATATTCTGTTCATCTGTTCATATCTGATTTGTGTTTTTCATATGTCCTGTCAGCCACAATTGCCTGCATAAAATCAATATTTACATATGACATTTTGAAAAAAAGTCATTATTGCCAGCTTAACTGTCAAGTCTGAAAATCTGCCAGCTCAACAGTACAGACTGTACCTATGTTACTGATGAGAGGCCATTTGCTGGTTTTCCCCATCTTTATTAGCTTTGTTTGTTTAGCTGAGGCTGTAAAACTAAGTGTACAATAAACTCAAAACATGTGCGTGCTCTAGGAGCAACCAATGGTAGAATTCCAATGAATTTGCAACAGTAAAATCATTTACGTTATCCCTCCAAGAGTTTCTGGTTACAATCTTACAGTCTGTCATAGTTTACCAGAACATGCAGTTAAGGTGTCAAAATGGGTCAAGAGGGAGTCCAATACATTTAATTGGTTACCTGAAAAGCACTGTCATTATCCTACTGGTTTATGGTATGCGTTTATTCCACAGGTGGAGAAGCAGATTAACGACAAAGGCTGGGAGTTCATGTGGAGTGAACACCTGGGTTACATCCTGACCTGCCCCTCTAACCTGGGCACAGGGCTGAGGGCTGGAGTTCACGTCAAGATCCCCAGGGTGTCTAAGGTACACAGTCTAGCCTCCAACCCGTAACCTGTAATCCTTAACCTCTAACCTAGCCAACCTGGCCACAGTTTGTCTCTGCTACTGTTATATGTATGTACATCATGTATACATTCCCAATGTTGATTTCACTGCGCGCAAACTTAGATTTACCAATGGCAATAAATATATCAGTCAAGTTGGGCAATGTTTACTTTGTTTCTTTTAATAAACACTACTGGACTTTACAATGTTAGTACATATATAGTCACCTGAGGACACACCCTACTACAGAGGGATGACAAAGCGGTCCTCGTCAACCTGACGGACGAACGACACATAAAAGTCAAGTGCAGTATAAATGAAATTACTGGACTTGACTTTTATTACCATTGTAAAGCCAGATGCTATATACAAAGTAAACATTACCTGAGTTTACTACCTTTGGTAAATCCAACTTTCCATGCAGTGAGTGATTGTAACAGTACTGGACCACACAAATCTAGTTGCTGTATATGCATGGAAAGGTAAGAAGGAGACAATGACGCTTGTTTATTCAATACTTAAATCCACCTGCAGGTTGCTTTTCATTGAGGTCATGATGAAGAGGTAAGACATTATAACAAGATCCAGGTTACATGTGCATGTGTGTTGCCCGTGCAGGACCCGCGGTTTGAGAACATCCTGAAGGCCCTGCGTCTGCAGAAGCGTGGTACCGGCGGCGTGGACACCGCTGCGGTGGGCGGAACCTTCGACATCTCCAACGCCGACCGTCTGGGCTCCTCGGAGGTCCAGCTGGTGCAGATCGTGATTGACGGGGTGGACCTGCTGGTCCGCATGGAGAAGGAGCTGGAGCGCGGGCGCAGCATCGACAAGCTCATCCCGAAGGGCGACGGCCGCGGCCTGTAAATGCTGACCAGGTCTCCAAGTCAACTCACAGTCAAGTTTTCATCATCGTCTAAATAACCTCACACACACAGCAGAATTTGTCGTGTTTCCCCAGAAAGTAACAATGAACTGTCGTGCTTCAATCATGTTTGTTTGTTGACAAGATAAGAATTCATAATATTAATAACTACCTGTGCTTCCAACATTCATGAATGTCTCTTATAGAAGGAAATAAAGAAATTTAAAAAGTCTGTAAGTTAAAACCTACCAACCTTTATGGTAAAGGGCTTCATCTTAATTCTGTTACGTGTTTCTCAAAACACACAAGAAAGGATTTCAAAAGGTGCTCCTTTGGTCATATCTTTTACGGTGTTCAGGTCTGGATATGAATGTAATTGAGAGATTTTTGTAGTGATATTGGACAACCCACTTTCAAATGTCATGGTAAAGAGCTTCATCACCTTAATTCTGGTACATGTGTATTCTCAAAACACACAAGAAAGGATTTCAAAAGGTGCTCCTTTGGCCATATCTATTATGGTGTTGAATGTCATGGTCTGAATATGAGGAAAGTAACCGAGAGATTTTTTGTGAGATTGAACATGGGAATAGACTTTGGTATCTTAAACATTGAAGAAAATCTAACAGTACCAACTCTGGATCTCAGGAAAGACCAGATGTATCAGCAAAAACAATCTGCTGCTTGGCTATGATGTTGTGACCTGCTTTTTTTGTTCTATAAGTGAAGATTACTGCTAATGGAGAACTTGTGACCATTCCTCTCCATGTGTTAGTGCCATGGCATTGCTTTATGAATTGATAGAGTATATCCTAGAAGATTCTATGCGAATACAGGAGATTCCTTTTTAACGTAAGACGATTTATGTTTGCCCGGTGGAGAGAGTTTATAGTATGTATATATCTATGGGCTGATAATATTTACCCATATGATAATTTTTGCACATTGTGTTTTATTGTGTGGAATTGTGTTGAATTTCTGAGAGCAATATAAAGCCATGTTGATGTGTTGGATATTTGGGTACAGTTTTGACAACTGATCTTTATGTTTGCAATGTTTGTTTTTTGTGTGTGACAATTAAATGCTGAACTATCAGAGGACAAAGGTTTGTCTGTCTGTCAGTCCTTTTCTTTTGCATTGAGCATTTTGATTGTGAGGGGGGGGGCAGTCTTTTTATATCACACCAATCTAATTTTATGGGTGACTTCCTCTGGAAGACCCCAAACTAATGTAACAGAAAAAAAATAGACATTAACATATGTAAAAATTTACTAGAAAAAAAACTACAAGACCAAAGTAGATGGATCTACCAAATTAGGTAAGTATGCAAAGAGGTGTAGTCAAGTGAAATTCTGAACATCTGCTGCGTCAGTAGTATAAGGTTGACATTATTTGGCAAAGGTGAGATCATGGAGGTGAAAAATTACCTCCATGGTGTGAGGGACTCTAGTTGTTGAACGTCTGTCTACTGCAGCCATCTGAAGTTTGTTCGCTTCCATTGCAGGTCATTGACATTTTGATTGATATTTTATTTATTGATATTACCTATTATTTACTGCAGAATTTTTATCCCCCTGTTCTGGTGTCTGTCGTTTTGTCGGCGTGTTGACAACTAGAGTTCCATGATCTCATACCTTCACCAAATGATATTCTTTATGGTTGACAAATGATAGATTATTCCCCTTGATTATGCAAATAGGATTCTCATTTGCATGAAGTATATCAGTTGATCATAGTCCACCAAAGAGTCTTTTCTTAACAAAGTGCTATTCGAGCATTTCGTCATAGATTATGCAAAGGAGGTCCTTATTCGAATAAGTTATGTTTGACGATGTTCACTTTACATGAAATTCCAGGCAGTTACCATTATAGAATTATAATATTTTCTCAGTAATTATGCAAATGAAGGCTTCGTTTACATAATCAATATATAATGCAGATTTCTCAATTACATAAGTCACTGGTTTAAGGAATTTCCTCATTAATTATGCAAATGTATAATTATGCAAAGTACATTTGCATAATTGTTATTTACTCATGTCAAGCATCACTTACATACCAAAAAAACATGACAATCCGTCAACCGGTCCTTGAGTTATCCCCTTTTGAATATTTTTAAACAAACGCCCCTGCAATTCCAGAGCATGCTGCTATGGAGTAATCTCCAAGCAGACTCAGTGGGGCATGGGGACTTTATGTTGGCCGCCTGTATCCAACCTTCGCCCAACGTGGAGCCCAAACTCAAGTCACTTCTTCCCCAGCACGAGAGCTACGTAGGTATACCTACCATCCAAATTTCGTGACCCTAGCATGTCTCCATCATGAGATAAAACGGAAGTTGTGTATATATATATATATACATATGCATACATATATACACATACATACATACATACATACATACATACATACATGCATACATACAGACATACATACATACATGCATACATACATACATGCATGCATTAATGCCTTATCAAGTTATCATGTTCACAGACAGGCACACGCGCGCGCGCATACACACGAACGCCTCTGAAAAAATATCCTTCTTGCCTACAGTTGAACAGTTCCATCCCAGCTCTGTCAATAACGGTCGGTCCCTTGGAAGTTGGAACGTCACTCCGCAACTCTGGGGTGCCACTGCCAGGGTTGGGTGAGCTTTTGATGGATAACACATTGTTCAGGTAAACCAATAAGGGTGACCAGCTGTCCGGAAGTTTCAGTGCGCCACAGGACAGTTGAACACGTACCGTCAACTCGACACGGGCGCCCCGCTTTACGCCTCTCCGCAGAACGTACGTACGGTACGACGAGAAGTTGTCTAGTACTGGTAGGTAAGTACAGTTCCGTACCTTGGTACAGTTACGAAGCATATTCATGGTTATCGTAGAGGTTTCAGTCAACCGTGACCTCTTCATTGTAAGTTTAGTTGCTGAACAGTTAACATACTAGATAGTAGCCTGGGTACCATCCTATTTGTATGCCGGGGCTCCCATACTCAGTATCACCTTGTCTTCGGACAGTTGTACATTACAACGTAACAGTACACTGGCCGTGACCTCATGCCTCGGCGGCCCTATTGAAACAGTCAGGTGATTTGCGGTGTAATTCACATGTGTACGTCCTCAGTAGAATTTGCCTGATGGGGACAAACCATAAACTATGTGGGCTTGTCTACGGGCACAAATCGGTCTTGTATAGTCACTTTACCCATTAATGGGTTGCAGATGGTGCCAATCGTCACTAATCCGTGCGCCCATGTGTAGCTATAGGTTTATAGGCCAGGGGACAGGAGAATGGCGAATATATCTCTGGGTATACATTCTGATAAGTACTCGGACGACAACCCCGTATTTCCCATTCAAGAATGGATGTAATGCTTTATACTTGTAGGATAGAGGTCGAAAATATATTTCTTAATTCATCACAAGTAGATAACCGAGGAATGCAGCAACGGAAAAGTCGCAGGCTGGTACGAAAAGCTGTCCAAAGAAGTTTGTCAGGACAGACAAAGTTCTGTGTTCCCACGAAGATCAACATTCTTACCTGCCTATGCGTTAATAAGAAGACCTAACCCCGCTGGCTCCATTCTATCTGTGCAATCCCGATAAAGCTGTACTGCTATGATGTGTCACGCAGAGAATTCTAAAGACTCGCATTGTTAATGAATAACACTAGTTCTGACCCTCAGAGGACAGAGGGCCTGTACGGAGTAGGGGCCAGTAGTGGAGCGGGAGACCATTGTCTTTTGTCCCCCGTTTTTTTTACCATGAACAATGTTGACGCTACCCGTGGTATTTCGATTGTTCAATCCAGATAAAAATGGATTCTATGGATGCTGAGGAGCCCTTTAGCGGGAACGTCACCAACACGACGGCCAGTCCGCCGGGGCCGCCGCCGAAGAACCCGGCACTGGTGACCGCCTTCAACGTCGTGAACACCGGCATCCTCGTCTTCATCATGTTGGCCATGGGCTGTACACTGGAGCTGAAGACTCTCATCAGGCTGGTTAGGAACCCCAGACAGGTCAGTAGGGTATCAGAATATCTGGCGCATCAGAGGAAATTGCAATCGCAGACAGGCAAAGCCTGAGAGTGAGAAAGAGCGACTCGAAGCATAGCAGTGAAATATATATCAAGGAGGTTCATAAGCAATTGCAAAGAGAAGAAACATTACGAAGCAGAAAGACAGACACGCAAAATCTAGAGAATTACTGGGTGAAAGCTGAAAGGAAGGGGGAGGCAGAGAGAGCCTGTGATACAGAGGGGGTGATGTCAAGATACATATAAGGTATCAGCTATCGTCCAAGCAGCGCAGATGTCCGGGAGTATCTTGTCATATTTGTTTCTGATGACGACCTTGTCACTTTCCCTGCAGATCGATCCGCGGTTTTTCATCGGCGTTGTGATCGGGTTCCTGTCGCAGTTCCTGGCCATGCCGCTGTGCGGGTTTGCCGTTGCGCATATCATGCAGTACTCCCCGATGGTGGCAGTCGGCGCTCTTGTCTGCACCTGTTGCCCTGGAGGGACGGTGTCCAACCTCTTCACCTACTGGAATAAGGGTGACGTGCCGCTCAGGTGAGGGACAGGTTGTCTTTAATTGTTGCAGTTGCGCAAAAAAGAGACGCGATTTTTCTTTCACAAATAACGACAGGGGCCTAGCCTCTATTTACTAGATATCTTTTGATAAGGTTGCATTTTTTTACGCTTGAGGCATTCGATACAAGTATGGGCGTTCATAGAAAGATGCATGTGTCAAAAGACAACGCACGAACAGTTCTGATAGACGGTCATCGAAACGTCGGCTCTTGTCAAACAAGTGGTTGTGAATAAAGGATTTTGCTGTTGAAAAGTCATGAAAGTGTTCTCTTGAGAAATGTATTTTAATTGTTCCGGATCTGTGTCAGCGTCACGATGACGTCCTGCTCCACAGTGCTAGCTATGGGGATGATGCCGCTGAACCTGTGGATCTACTCCCGCAGCTGGACGGACCAGGCCGCCGTCATCCCGTACACCCGGATCGTCAGCGCCCTGGCCTCCATCCTCGGGCCTGCCCTGGTTGGCATGCTGCTTAAACTCTGGTCCGATCGAATCGCCAAATTCGTCATCAAGGTACTGTACATGTGCCAACAACTGCCGGTGTCGTGACAAATTGTCTTTCTGTAAGATTTTTGCCCTTTGCTAATAATGCACGTGCCTGAAGTTTAGAGCTAATAGGTCTAGTATTAGAGGTTCGTGTCAAGTTATTAGGTCGGGTAAGGTTAGTGTTATAATTAGGTCAAACGGTCTCAACCCCACTACCACACCTCCTCCAAATATGTTGCAAACCCCCAATCAGTGTTCGGGGCGAAAATTTGGAATCTGGCACCATTATATTTCCAGCCACGACATACAGAAGTCTTGGACAGTCGTGGATATCGTTTGAAACGGCCGGATGCACTCTAGGTTTGCATTCCGTTGAATACTTAGCCGTTTTATCTTTAGTAAGTTAATCCACTGATAGATAGCAGATAAAGGTATGAAGCTGGAATTTCGGGGTGGTTTGCCAGGGAGTGAATTATCACTGTTGTTTTATGTTCTCTCTTTTTTTTCTTGATTCTGCACCCCACAGCTGGGGAGCGTTCTGGGTCTGTCTGGGATCGTGGCCAGCATCATTCTGAGCACGTTCATCAACCCTGACATGTTCACCCGGCCTTGGCAGCTCTGGCTGGGGGCGGCCATCCTGCCGTACGTAGGTAAGGCCACTTTTGTCTCAAAATTAAATTCTATGATACAGAATTCGCCAAATTGACTGAGTGGGCGGATAAAGCACGTGTATTCTTCTTCTTGGCTCCTGTAGGCTTCAGTATCGGGTTCTGTTTGGCGTCCATCCCGCTCTTCAAGATGACGCAGGCCCGCCGCCGGACCGTGGCGTTTGAGACCGGACTGCAGAACGTCTCCATCGCCTACGCCATCATCCAGCTCACCTTCACCGCACCGGGAGGATCAGCGTTCATGGGAGACCTCCTCATCTTCTCCATCCTGTACGGCCCCTTCATGATGATAGACGGACTGCTCATCACCGCCATCTACCGGCTATGGGTGGTCCTGCAGAACAAGAGGAACGTCCAGGGAGAAGAGCCCAAGGACGAAACTGCAGAACTGTAGAAGTTTCTTGGACATGTATTTTATCCTTTCTACTCAATACAAGTTTAACGTTAGCATTTACCTTTTTTATAATCATAATTTGCACGTTTGCAAGTTGCAACACTAGTAACAAAGTTTATAATAGCAGTAGACATATGTATATTCTCTAATCCTGACACAGGATCGTGTATACCAGACCAAGGACCAGACCAATTGTGTAGGGCTTACTGATTAGTCAAAGTTGGAATGCTTGCTAAACCAATCAGAGGAGACATACCATTTTTGGACAAAATCATTCCAACTACTAGTACTAGTACTAAAGTTTGATATTGGACGTGGTAATAATATGTAGCTATATTTGCAGGTATTTGCAAAGGCAGGTTTTGGAGATAATATACTTGATGTAGTACATAAAACATAATGACATTGTAACAAAATTATAATCAAGACAGTTGAACTTTCACTGTCATGTTTAATATTTGAAATTCATATAAATGTATACAAATATACAAGTAGACTCAGGCAACAATGTGCACATGACATGACAAACTGTTAAATATGTTAACTGCAATTAGTGATATAACCTACTAGTATTTTTGTACACAACTGTATGTCAAACACTTATTTTTCTATAAACTACATAGCACTTTTGTAAACAGGTGTGTAATGGAGCATGACAGCAGAACATACTGCACCTGTACAAACTTGTAATGTATTGCCCAGAGCACTTTGGCAGAACGTCCCATTTTGGTCGTATTCATATATGTGACATTCGGTCTATTGTTTTCAATGGACCTATACCATTATTACGTCACAGTTTGTTTACCGCAATGAATGCCGGTCAATCGACGTTTATATTGTACAGGGGTGCGTAGCGCAGTGTGTGTTTGTGTAATATAAGGCTTTTATACAGTACTACTTTTGTCTAACGTCACAACTAAATCACCCATGTGGTATGTAATGCTGTGTCAGCACAACTAGACGCAGCAAAAATCAGACATACCTTACTTTGAAAACTTTGAAATGATCTTTATTCTTTAACTGATCGTTCTAGAATGTTCTTTAGAACAGGTAAACAAACTGTGACGTAATAATGGTATAGGTCCATTGTTGTGTGAGAACAGATATCATCTGCAACAAAATTCTGATGCAGCATTGACCAAACATCCAACGAAAACCGTTAAAATCTGGATTTCAGGTGCAGTAACTACTGCTGACATGCTGTATGTACAATAGCACTATAATCAAATCATACAGACTTACATCTACAGCAAATCAATCATTATAATACGGTATGAAGAGCTAAAAATAAACCTTTAGTCTGTAACTTTTGGTTGTATTGATGTAGTTAACTATGTATCAGGGCCATCAGTGTGCCTGAGAAACTATGACAGGGGCCAGGCTTGTGTCAGGAAGCATCGGACTCACACACAACTCTTTTGTGCTCAGCATTTCCTTCCTACTTCTGTGTTTCCTTCTGGCAGAGCTGACTTTCTGTTGTGAAGAGCTGATACTAGACTCCTTATCTGACTCCCGAAGACTGGCTTGAGAGTTGGACCTACTGTGATGCTTCTTGCGAGGTGTGGACTGAGATCCTTTCTTCAACCTCCTGTCTCCGTCTTCCTTCTCTATACTTGGTCCTCGGTGAAAGTCTGCAATGCCAGAGTCTCTACTTGTAGCAGAGCTGAACCTGGCACCAGGCACATGTGTAGTTGCCTCAGAACTGTCCTCAGCTAGGCTATCAAATGAACGTTCCTTCTGCAAGTGAAATGTTTTGTTAGTTGAAGGTGTCCTGTCATGTTTCCTTGTAGACTTCACAGCCTTGTCTGAGGATTCTGAGGTAGTTACTGTAGCTTCTTTTTCATTTTTATCTTTTCTTTTGTCCTTTCTATTCATTGCTTTCATTTCTTGCATGATCTTTTGTAGCTCCTCATAGTTTTCATCCTCTTCGAATGTCTGGGTTTCCACACGTGAGAAAGATGTCCGCCAGTTGCTCTCAATCTCTTTTTGGACGTCCAATTTCCCATCATCCCTTGGTGAAGGCTTCAGCAGCCTCTTGCTGGTCTCTGCACTCTGAACTCTGCCCTTTGAACTGTTGAGTTTCTGCAGCTCTCGGATAACCCTGTCCTTTTCAGCAAGTTTGGCTTCCAGTTCACTGATCTTCTCAGCTTGAGAGGACACCTGAGCAGACAGCTCCAGGATGAGATTGGTGCGACCACTATCGTACTCGGAGGTGCTCCCTTCAGTTGGGGTGTCAGGGCTGTTGTAGTCTTTAAGAAAGTTGCACTTATCCAGTTGAGCTAAGAAACAAGAAATAAATATCTCATGTAAATGCTGAAATACATCTGAGTAACTAGAAAACCCTTACAGAAATAGAAGTTTTCACTACTAAAACCACAAAATTCTAAAAACATTAATTATCCAAATATTAGCGAGAAATCCATGGTATTTTTGACATCTCCCCTTTGCCCTTTCCATCCATAAAAGTTCATCTGCGTTGGTAGAAGTCATTATGAAACAAGTTTGAACTATAATTTTCCAAGGTCAACACAATAAAATTGGACTAGCCTTGTTCAAATGTTCGACTGTACAACTTCCATCTTTGTCAAGGAATGAGCAAGGAATATTGGTAACATATCACTCCATTGCTAATATATGCACCAGAAAAATAGGTACATTGTTCTGATTGCTAACCTATAAGTTTGGAGTTTTCCTCCCCCAGTTTTGTCACCTCATCCTTCAGACTGTACACTGTCAGAGCCGACTCCTGTTTGGCCTCAGCCAGCTGGGTCATCACACTCTTCATCTTCTTCTTGTACTTCTCTCTCTGCAAGTCAACAGAAAAATTGTGTGGCTGGTAAGAACAAAGGATAAACCTGTAATTCACATGTATTCAAGCAAATATACATGCTTTTAACTCTTCCACAAAACACATTTTAACATCCACTCACCATGTTTCACCTGGATTGGTCCCATAATCAAATTAGAAGAGCTGCTTTTGCCTAAGTATGTATATTTATACTTATTGGCCAGGACACATGTCATTGCTTCTTGAGTCAGTACAGGCAAGTACAGGACTGGCATTATTTCATTGGTTCAGTAAAAGACTGGCTACTGGACGAGCTACATACTTATTCATTTTGTATTATGTCAGTATTATTTGTGATTGAAGTATATCTTTACATATAAGTATAATTTGTGATTCAATCACAAATAATACTGACAATACAAAATGAACAAGTATGTAGCTCGTGATTCAATCACCTCCTACAGGTCTGTTGAAATCAAAGCTTTGTGCACTTCTTGTGTATACTTACCATCTTTGTAATCTCCTGTGTAACTGCACTAGTCTCCTTCTCTAACTTCTGTATATACTGTAAAACAACATTCAGTGGGTTAAAACCAAAATCTACACTTTACCCCAGGAGTTGTGCTGTTGAGAAGGTCGGGCTCTTTCAAACATCAACAATGACATGGATACTTAACTTGTATAGCTGAATAAAAAAAACAATACTAGTAATCACTAAGTTGTAGACCTATTTTGGGCTTCCTGGGTCATGTTAACATGATCAAGCCCTTAGCACTACATATCAATATGCATACACCTGTAAGACGTATGTGGAGCAGTACTTACCAGGTCCTTGGCACGGAGAGTCTTGGAGAAGTCCTGCTCAGGTTTGCTGCTCTGTTCTGCCTCTGTCATCTCCACCTGCTGTTCCAGACTGGCAACCTTATCCAGCAGCTCGAGGTTGGTGCTTTCCACTTCTGCCATCTGTGTACAACAGCATATACTGTAGGTCAGTCCAAATGTAGGTTTGTGCCAAGCCTCAACCACCATAAACATTCCATCTTTTTACTTAAGCCTCTTTGGATTTGCTTGGTTTTTAATCGTCATCTGTATCTGTATCTGTATAGCCAAGCCAAGAGAGAGATAGCCGGTAATGTATGTTAAACACCTGGAGATGTTAAACCTACTTACCTGTGTCTGCAGTGTTTTAACTTTCTCCTCGGCCTCCAGTGCCCGTGCCTCCATCATGGCGAGCGTTTCCCGCTCCGTGGCCAGGTCATCCTCTAGGTGACGTAGCCGGGCCTGACCTGCCGACCCCAGTCTGGCCACCAGGCGGCTGGGTAAGCTGGGAGAGGAAAAACCAGTGACTGACCAAAACATAGAGCATTGTAGCTGGTGATCCACATTTGTTTTTCTGCTGCACTGCATTGTAACAACATTGTTACAATGCAGTGCAGAAAGATATGGGCATATCTATAGCCTTACTACAACATCTGGTCTTACATGTCCTTTTTCAAAAGGTGTAGGCAGGCAATTCAACATAAGTATCCAATTTCATGTATTTCGTGATTAGGTGGCAAAAATTTAGCATAAGTCACTACAAAGTGATGCTTCCATGACTTAAACATAATTTTGAATTCATGAGTTTTATTGATTGTTGAAGTGTTGTAGATCACTCATATCTGACTGATTTTGAGAGCTGTTGAAGCAAGACAAAGACTAGAGTCTACGTGTATGCCATAATACATGTGGAAGCTAAGAATATCTCAGGTGTGTTGACTGTGAAGGCCCATGTAACCCTAGTCCTTTGACTTGGTATTAATAACCTTCAGACACAAGAGATGAGGGGGTTATGAAAACTGTTTGTGTTGTCTCGTGTTTGCTAAAACACTAGTAGTGTTCGGGTATGAAGAAACATAATCTGAACTTTGTCATACTCAATTTCATATGTTCAAGCAGGCTCACGATATATTGTTACGTTTCGTAGACAATTAAATGTACGGCTGAGATTTTTTAACTTAGGTATAACGTTGCAAGCAACGTTGTTAGCAAAATAAAACTATCAAGCATAAAATTGGGCAACCTAAAGTGGACCTGAGGCAGCGGAGCTAAGTACATGGAAATGATTCATCATGAAAGCTCCTTGATGGAAGTTGCTGGTAGCGGTCACGTCTTTTTCGGATTTTGCTGAATAAACAACACGCGCGCCAAGCCTCGCTTGAACAGAACTTACCTTCCTCCTTTACGGTTGTTGTTGTCGAAATCCATATCTTTCAGAACGCTCTGTTCAATATGTATTTCTCTAACGTCGGAGCTGGCACCATTCCCCATTGCAAGCGTCTAGATACCAGTCCCAAAACATGAAAATCTTTTCTTACGGTCAGCTAAAACATTTCTAGAGGCAACATCCGCCACTTCAAAATGGCGGCGTAGTGACGTCATGGCAACGCATAAACATTCTCATAAAATATTAATAGCATACCAAAATTCTACCCAAATAAACGTGTAAGGACAAGAAAAATAGTTTGGGCCTATTATCTGATAGATAGAGCATGTTATCATGTCAATATATCAGATGTGATAACAACAAATTGAGAATCACGTGACAAAAGCAATATCACGTGATCCAGGGCGCCTGTGTTGTGGAGTTTTCTATTCTCGAAGTAGAGGGGAGACGCTTTTTAATTTTATCTTCTTGAAAGTAGACCATTGATATAACATAAGAAGACGTTAGTATGTTTTAAATATTTGTAATATTACAATAGAGCTAAAATAAAACAAATCTAGGTACGACTAGTTGTTTTTGCCCAAATAATATATGTTCAGACACCCCTATTTATGTCATCGTGTGACAGTCCATATTTAAAAGACCATCATGGAGGAAGAAGTTTGCAGTGGTATGTCGTCCGAAAGCTTTCCCGATCCTCCTGCAGAGCCGCCAGAAGACAAGGCGCCGTGGGTGCTCACAGCCTTTCCGCAGATAGTGAAGAATGTATTGCAATACCTGCCGGCAAAGTCACTCATCCAGAGTGGGAGGTACGCCTGGTTTATTGTGCTTTGTTATGTGTTGCATTATAGTACTATATATACCGCTTTGGCAAGGAGGTTTGCCCTATATTATGATTATAACCTCCTCGGTATTAAACTGCAGAACTGGGAAATTATGAAAAGAAAACACTCGTTTATTGATTTATTTATCAAAACAAAAACTGAAAGACTGGCATAATGATCGTGTATATAATTATAATATCTTTATTTGGAAAATCATGCCCGAAGGCTAATTGCTTTTACAATCAAGAATAAAACACATTGCAATACAGTAACAGGAGACAAGTAACAACTGTCTGGAAAAAACTTCTACTTCTACTACTACGCTAGCTATTATGTGGTTCGACTTCTTCTTTGAAGGCAGTGGATAATGAATAGTACCACATTCTGCATAATTAGTGGGTTTTGTGATCTTAGTAGAAATGCAGTTTTTTGGTGATCTTCTAAATGACGAAAGGATGGAGAAATTGTTGTAACTGTCTGAAATAATCTGTTTCTTTCGGTCTCATAGTGAGGAGTCACTGAGGACACTGGCTAACAAAATGTATTTCATTTTCCACTGCATTCATTGTACAATATTTACATAATCTCTCGTGCACAGGTAGTTTTCTATAGCGGCCTTTTTCTATCTCTAGTGGATGCGCACTTATTCTAATCTTACACATGGCAGCTCGCTCGTCAATTATAATAATATAATACGATGTGCTCAAACACCTGCCGTCTACCCATCACTTCCTTGCTACGCTGTTTAATAAAGTCCTGGCTCAAGGGCAACCATGTAAATCATGGCAACATGCAGATTCTATTGGAATCCACAAATCAGGAGCAACTGATGACCCATCCAACTTTAGAATGATTTCACTGATTAGCGCAGTAGCAAAACTGTTTCACTCTATCATAGGGAGGCGTATGATTGACTTTCTTGTCAAGAATGGTATCATTGACAATGAGGTACAAAAGGGATTCCTGGAGGGAGTGTCCGGCTGTGTTGAACATTCGTTGGTCCTCAATGAAATCATCAGAGACGCTAGGGCACAATCGAGAACTGTTCATGTTGCATGGCTTGACCTACAGAATGCATTTGGATCGGTCCCACATGATTTAATCCACCTGGCTCTGCAGAGGTACCACATACCACAACACATCTGCAACTACGTGAAAGCATTCTACAGCAATCTAACTGCCCAGGTGCGGTGCCCAGAGTTTTCCTCTGACCCATTTCAGCTCAATGTAGGCACATTCCAGGGGGATACACTGTCTGTTGCAATCTTTCTACCTGTTATCAACCTGCCATTGGAATACCTACGCTCAGAAGCAGCACATGGCTACACGCTAAAGGACAAGACACATGTGACCTTTGCGTTTGCCGACGACCTAGCATTGACGATATCCAGGTCAAGATCACTGCACGAATCTTGAACACATTGGACAGAAATCTACGGAGCATCCACTTGTACCTGAAACCCAGAAATGCAAAACCCTCAGTATATGTGGCGGTTCAGCAAAGGACGTCGCTTTCTGTATCGGAAGTCACCCCATGGACAATATTATCAAAACTCCTTTCAAATTCCTTGGTGGATACGTCACAGCTAGAGGCTCAGCAGGTCAGGTCGCTGACATCCTGAGGGAATCAATCATAGGCTCAAAGGAAAAGAATGGAATTATAATGAACATCGACGAATCACCCATTAGAGGAGAGTACAAATGCGAGATATACAGAGTCTATGTACAAGGTGCCATCAAGTACCTACTGTCAGTCCATGACACCACACGCTCTCACCTACAGAAACCGAGTAGCAGCGTCACCCAGTACCTGAAGAAATGGGCTGGCATGAAGAGATCTGCTAACTCCGGAATCCTGTACCATAGCCAGGGTCTAGGCCTTATCTCAGTAGAACAGATCTATCTACAGCAACATGCTACAGTCATTGCATCAGCTGTGACAATAGGTGATGCAAGTGTCCAGAATGCTCTGCAAGCAAAAGTAGAAAGGGAGGGAACTTTCACCCGCAAGAGAACAGGCAACTTGGAGTGCCACACTCTTGTGAAAGACACACTTACATCACTGTCAAGTCCCAACAGTAATGACAACCAAGC